AAATCTTTGCAGTGTAATGCAAGCTGGTTCACACAATTTCTTTTTTCTCGCCCACCCTGTGCAAAGTGCCTGCTGCCATCCTTGCAATTGCTGGGTGAGTTGTGAGTGCCCCTGCCCCTCCTCACGTAAAAGAATTAGGCCTTCTGAAGAAACTACATGGAAATCTGAGCGTGTCAAGCAGCTGACAAGAGTTTTATGCTCTTAATTGCACTTTTTTTTTTTTTTTTTTTTTTAACTCTAGTTCACAACCTGCAGGCTTCATCAATGATGCCAACACTGAAACCACAGGCACAAACCACGCAGATTAGATTTAAACCTAAAGGAAACTAGCTCAGCTAAGGAACTGCACTCCGACAGGGCATCTAGTACCTCCCAGCTGTGCCTCCCGCACAGCTACGAGAAATTCTCTGTCTGCTCAGCCAGCAGAGGAGACTAGCAGGGCTGCAGAGCCCGCCTGCCAGCCCCTGACCCGCACCACACCAGGGTGCTTTCCTGGGGTCAGGTGCCACCATGCCCAGCTGCAGCGGAGCAGGGAGTACACGTCCCGCTGCGCTGCGCAGCCTGCACGTCCTCTGCTGGAGGAGCTGCAGTTTCTCTGTCCTGGGAGCAGCGGGAAGGTCTAGGCAAGAGGTGTCTTGCCTGTGGGACAGAAAATGGGTCCAGTGCTCCCTTCAGGGCCAAGAGGGGAGACAGCTGAGCAGCTTTCAGCCCTCATCCCCAACCCAGAAGTGGCAACAGTGGCACGCAAGAGCTCTGCAACACTTTACTGTGGCAAAGGGCAGGACTTGCGCAAGCTCCTCCCTTTGCAAACTGAGCTCTGCGAGTTGCTGAGTTATGAGAGTTACGTTCCCCAGCAAGAGCTTTCTGCATTTTCTACCTTCCAAATTTTGAAAAAGCAGAAGGAATTTTGCTTTGATTTTGGGAACAGCTGCTGAGACCTGTTAACATTTCTCTCTTGGCTCCTCTGTTACTCCTGCTGGTTTTGTCGTATTACTTCATCCCTCCTTTCCTTCCTCCAGCTTAAGAGTAGCAGGCAGTGGTTGGGGTAGACAAGGATCCCTTTACTCCTGCTATCTAGAAAGCAAAAGGAAAGCCTTGATCTTGCCTTTAAGGCAAAAAATGCAATTGTTCTGTGTATGTGTACCTACATGCCAGCTTTGCTACTTGGACTTCCCCCCCCGCCCCCCCAATTTTAACATTCATGGTTAAAGCCTACAGGAAAGGATAAGGAGCTCAGTAAAACAGACTGTTTCAAATTACAGTTCAACACTAAGGTGGTATCAACAGCGCACAGTTCTGTGAACATACACCAAAACCTGACCTACCCACCTTCTTCCTTCCATTGGCTTCAACCCAGGAAAGTACATGGGCAGGTCTTCATTCCACAAAATGCTTGAGCCCATGCTTTAAAAAGAAGCATGCCCTGGCATATTTGTCTGAATCAAGGAGGAGGCAACTAAATGTTTCATTCCCTTGCCCATGTTGCAGCCTCACATTTGTGTGGCTTTTTTATGAGGCAACTAGCTCCACTGACTTGTAGTGAAACCACCAGCACATAGAAATTAATACACAAACTTTGCCTTTCTGAGCTGGGCATTTCCTTGGTGGAAAGCATCCATAAGAAATTCAAGAGAGCGCGCTGAAAGTGATTCTTTATGGCATTTTTTAATGGACTAAACATCAGCGTTAACACTACAAAAACGAAGGCAACTCTTATGGGAATTAGAGGCTGCTTCTCCCTATTGTTCACAGAGAACCCTGGCTGTTTGAACAGATGATACGTTAAATTTGTGTCACAGTTGCTCAAGGGAGGACATAGCGAAGTCTCCCATGGTACAGTGCACACAGTTTACAATGGGCATGGTTAGAATTTGTTTGTTACAACCCTTGAAGAGATGTTTCTCCAAAGCAAACATGCTATGAATTACATTTTTCTCTAATCATATCAGAGAAAGTTCAGTCCATAAAGCACTCTTTCTCAGCTTTTATGGGCAGCTCCTAAAAAAAGAGCTGGCAAGTTAAAAAACAAAATAGGCCACAGAGATTTTATTTCCTATAAAATAGCTTCCTACAAGCTGTTTAAATGTTCTTTACTTAGAGCAATACTCCGAAGATTTTAGAGATTTTCAGGGCAATGCTTGCAGTAAGAACCGCTTGTGTTCCCTCTGCTCAGGGGGCTTCACAAACACACCATCAGATTTATGCCTTTCCCTTTCAAAATAACCCCACACACTCGTCTGCAAAATTAATTCAAATAAACATACAGAAGAAAGGAACATGCTAGCTCGATTTTTTGGGGGGAGGGGGGTGTGCTGGGGGAGCAATCACTAACATCTGCCATAAATCTGCTCACTCACAGCTTCAGCTCACATACTAACAACATCTCTGTCTTGCATAGAATTTCCTTCCCACCTTTCCCTCTCTCCCTCCCCACAGCCATGCCATAATGTGTCTAAGTTGGCTCTATAGCGTTGCTGATTAAAAACTGCCAGCAGTTAGACAACTTATTATAAAACCTACAAGGGGACTGTGTATTTATGAATGCAATAATTAATCAATGCATAATAAGCATGCACTGTGTATATCGTTTTTCTTTCCATATGTGGACAGCTTTGATTACCATGTGGGTTACACAGCCATGAGGATCTTTAGCTCTCGGTAGCTGCCTCCCCACCCTACAGCATTAGGAAAGACAAGCTCATTGTATTAAAGACTTCATTCATCTGCAAAACCACCCAAATACTGCTGAACTGATTAATTCTGCAGGTAGAGGCTTTCAGAAGAAAATGCCATAGTTAGTGCCACAACTACTAGGCTGTCACGATTTTCCTTTTAAACTACTTTTTTCAGCAGCTCAGCTGTAAGGCACACTTGGAGCTGTGAGCTGGCAGACTGGTTTGCATCTTAAGAACATATTTCATTTTAATGGTTTTATTTTTAAATTGTTTCAACTCTTTGAATTAATGGAGATTAAAAAAAGAAATGAGATTGATATAAAAATGCAAAGTAGAGTATTTTCCCCCTTTTTAGCCTGCCTTTTAACTAGAAGCAGGTTATATTTATTTTCAAGAAACTCAATAGTAGACAATTAATAACACGATTGCACACTTCTTTATGAAAATTGATCATCAAATGGCTTAAATGGAAAGAGCCACCACCCTTTCCTGAGCCTACTCACTGATAAATGGCATCAGGCAAGGCCCCACAGATACTAATATTCAATCAGTAGGGATTTGTTTTTCCCTTCCAAGAAATTTCCCCCCCCAGTGGCCGTCTTCTACAGTACCACTTTCTGCCAAATGGAGAAACAGAGATGCTTTGCCCCAGAGATGCTCTTCCCTGCTAGCCCTCTGCTAAGCCGTTTGAGTCCGCAGTGATGATATCTGGAGCTGAGTAATCAATGTGAGTTTTCATCCGAGTGCCATGGGCAAACAACATGATTATGTGCCCTCCCTGACTGAAGGGCTAATGTTTATTGCAGACTTGCTACATGTGGGGACTGACCAGAAGATTGCAGAACTCTGCATTTGGCTTGGAAGATAGCGCCTGGAGGACGCTACGATGTATATATAAAATTATTAATACTTTGTACTCTGTAACAGCCCACAAAGGGGATGACACGGTTTTATTCTGCCAATATGCAGAGGATTAAGGTTTTCTGCTCGAAGCCACTAACAAACTGAACAGAAGAACTACAGTAATTCCACTAAAACCATGCTGAATCCAAGGGACCAGCTGATGGCATGTTGTTACCCTTTCTGCTTGTCTTGAAAATGTAACTGTCACCATCCTACAAAAAGGACTTCAATCAGCTACGCAAAGAGGTTCAACTTAGACTGGGCTCATAGGAGCCACATGCAGCAACAAGGACGTTTTTCACGAGACCTCTCAGTATTTTGAGATCTAAATCCTTGGCATGGAGGTTTCTAAAGTGAGCTGAAAAATAGCCATTAGCATGTCAAATATAGATGAAACAGATGTCTTCTTTTCTGTTGCTCTCACAACTCCATTTTTAGTGCAGAGTGTCTCACAGAAAACAATAGCAAGATACTGCATTAAATCCTTGCACTGCTTTAGCCATTAGGTCACCATGCAAACACTGTTGTCATGACTTCAACTAGCAACACTTTGCCTATGTCAATACCATTATTAATACCCTGAAATACTAATTTCTATTACTTTTTAATTAACAGCCAAATGTACTGAATAATTATTCATGTGTAGTCATTAGGAGAAATGTACTGAATGCAATTACACATCAAGAGCTGTGACTTAGAAATGCTTCCCACAACACCTCTTGTTCCACAAAATACCCTGAAAAATTCAGCAACAGTTAAAGGCTTTCCATAACCAGGATACCTCTAGGTTGGAATAAACTCTTAGGCCCTGGCTCTGCAATACAGGAGTCTGTCTGCATGGTGTGTATCTCAGTTACCACTTCCAGATGCAGTAGCCAGACTCGACAGCAATAGTTATTACACAGACATTGAGCAAGTCTTCTGCAAAACCAATGTGAATGTAAGTGCTTGACTGGGAATTCAGATCCTCCCTGAACCTAAGCCCGGCAACACAATGAACGATGGAGACTTTCTTTGTATTTTGGAAAATGTAACTGTTATTCTGAACAAAAAATATTAATTGTTTAAAGGAGATTGTTGGCCATTTGTATGAACACAGCACAAAAAACAGTGAATGTGCATTTTAGAAAGACTTTACTTTTATGTTCATTAAGAGCCTTGATATTTAAGTATTTCAGAGGTAAAATTGGGATGTATGAATATCAAGATGATTGATTAGTAGTACTTACAATAAATGTTATTTATATTGCATGATGCTAACCCAACTCTGTTAAACCCAAAGTTTAGCAATGATAGCTGAAATTCTGTGCACATACATACAAAGTACCTGCATTTTCTCATGCAAACACACACACAAACTGGTGTGTACATACTGGATTAAAAAAACAACAGTCAGCAAACAAAGAATATTAAATACTATACCTTTGAGTCATAATCTTATAGGCATCTGGCAGATAACAGCGGATATTCTCCATCTGAGCAGGATCAGAGTCACAGATTTTATCATCAGTCCTCCCGTAGTTGGCACTTTCGATCATGATAACATCTGTTCCCGGGCAGCGAAGCTCTATGGGGTAACTCTCACAGGACAGCTCCCTTCGGACCACAGCCATGGGGACCGGGGCACGGCTGAAAGCTGCAAGGATTAACACAGAAACACAGCAAACATTTACTTTCCACACTGAGGCTAGGATTAAAAGCGGAATGACGTTTAGCAGCAGGTTTTATCCATATGCTGTACTGAGATAGTTTCATTACCATTGAGATATGGTCTGCAGAAACAAGGTCTGATCTCCAGCTTGCTGGCTGCCCAGAGGAATCACTTCTCCACTCAGCAACTTGATTTTCTCATCTCAAAAATAGGCTAACTATTTTTTACAGGGCTCTAGAAATCCCCTACTGAAAGAGGTAAATAGCGACTATGGCATTGTTATCACTTCTTCTTACCAGGTGAAAAGCTAGTTGGCTTTGATACATAAAATTTCAGTCCTGTGTTGTACCTGATCAACCAGGGGAAATTTTCTGACCATGAGCAATGCAAGCACCAGGATCCCACCTGCTCAGCAAGATTGCACCTGTCTTACTGCAGATGTAATAACATCTGCATTGCTCCTGGTCCTTTTCTTGGTCCTTAGAAAACATGAGCCTAATGGCTTTTGCTGTAGCCTGCAGCGTGCTGGGGGATGGCTTGCAGGTTCTGGCAACCATCCTCAAGTTTGGGCCCTGCAGTGATATTTTCCATGGAAAGGCGAATATATGGGACACTAGGTGATTAAAGTTCAGTCTCAGATTTATGTTGGATCTGCCTGGATGCTCAATACTGGCACATACTTGTTAAGTTAAAAGAGCTTTCAGAAATCTTACCTGTTTTAAAAGAAATCCAGGCTACAGTTTGCAAAAGAAAAAAAAAACAAAAAACAAAAAACACAAACGCTTTGAGATGCCTTGAAAACAAAGCCTTAAAGTATTAGTAAATAAACTCACATGACAACAACCAATATTTCCCATCTTTAGGGCCTCTCTGATCCAAAGACCTTCAACAGGTTTACAAATGTGAATGTATTAATCCCCCAAATATCCATATGAAGCTATATGTTGTTATTCTTGTCTCAGCTGCAGAAGGGTTATGCGGCTTCCAGATCTCATGGGAAATTCACAGTGAAGTTGGGAACCAAATACTTGTTTCCCAGCTGAACGCACTGTCGACGAGCTGAAACAAAAGCCAAGTCCTTTCTTTCCTTATTCCACGGGAATGAAAACTGACCCGCACCAAAAAGTTTTTTCAGCTGTGGGGATGATGTGCCCTCCCAGCTCCATTTGGTACTACTTCCAACATATAAACTAAGCCTGTGTCTATGTGGCGTTCACGGAGCAGTCAGGGAGCAGTTAACCTTCTAACAGATCCAGGGCCCATCTGACACTGAGCATCTGTCAACAACTCACTTTAGTCCCCGGACCCATTATAAAAACACCAAAGTACCCTCCCCAAAACAAAAAATCCCTTCCAACGAGCCATTGTCTTGTCCCATAAAACTTCCACATGGTATATGCATGTCAAGTTTGCTTATGGAAATAAGAGCATACTGATGTTTCTCAGTATACCCCTTAACTATATCAAGGCTGCTCTATCTGACTGCCTGGCAGGCAGCAATCCAACACATTAACTTCCATGAAGCCTCCTGTTATTGTCAGTTGTCTCATTTAGATTTGTATTATTGGCCAGATAAATACTCCCATTTCTGTAAATTTGCAGGGATTACTCTAATATAGGATCCTTACTGATGTGCCAGAGTTGTGGACTAATTGCCAAACTCCCAAGACAGACATGCATTTATTCTTGAATAATAGCTTCTACAATTAGCATAGCTTTAGGGTTTGGATCATGTAAGATGTCCTCCTTCCCCAAGACTGGAGAAACAGTTTTGCCCTGAGCTCATATTGCACCATACATTTGTGTAATGCAGTAAATTCTTACTGCAACCAAGTTCTGTTATAGGAGGAGGGGAGCCAGGAGGACAAGCATGAACCTGAGAGATGCGATACCTCATTCTTACCCTTGGCTTTACGTCACTAATCAATGACAAGGTGAGTGGAGGAAGGATGGGACAAAGTTAGAGACAACATTTGATCGCAGAGATAAGCCTTTCAGAAAGGCAGAGTTGGCAAAGCCCTGCAATTTTAGCCTGCCCTACAAACAAGATCAAGAGGTATTAAGTCCGCTTAAAAGCATCTGTCTACAGAAGCCTGCAGCACCCCCTGCTCTGTGAAACACCGGACTCTGTGGCAACAGGGGGGAGTTTATATTTTTCTGCGCTACCTTTAGCATTCACAAGCCCAATGCTGACCAGGAAATTTCTGATGCCAGGCTGCTGATTTTGGAAAAGAGCTGTGGTGAGGTCTCTTTTTGAGCTCTTCTGTATTAAACCTGAGCAGATTGGCGACACGGGAAGCAGAAGGTTTCTAGCAGCTTTTGGCAGAACGCTGAGGCCAAGTGCCCTCCCTCCTCCTGCCATGCGCTTAGAGGACTCCTATTAACTGCCAAGAAAATGGCAAAATGAGGTTTACAGTCAGTATTAGCTGTTTGAGGGCTATGGTTTGGCCCAGTTCTTGGGCTCAGTTCTTGGGCAATTTGGATTCTTTTCTCTGGGAGGCTACTGTAGGCTACAGGAATGGCAAAGACAATTGCTTATACTACTTTACTTCTTACAGTTCCCACTATAGAAAACAAAACTCAAACCTCCGACCTTGCTGTTAATTCCTATGCATTTTTTGCAATAACTATTTTATATTGTCAAAGAAAGCAGACATTAAATATGTGCTGGTTGAGGAAACCCCCACTTAAAATAGCAAAAATTAACTGTCTGGGAATTCAGTCATACAAACCTGATGTATTTGTCAAACAGCAATCCTATACATATGCAGCTAATCCTAACTCTCCTGTTTTGCTGGAAATAAGACATTAGGAACTGCTACCAGCAATATGGTTTTATTAAAATAGAAGTTTATCTGAGGGCAAAGATAGCATCCTAATCTCACAGCAACTCTATCAACAACGATGATGCAGTACTTCAGGCTTCTGCTGGAGGATTTCACAGTTAATATGAAAATACCAAGATTTAGTAAAAGCTGTTAAACATGTTTCTGTACCAGGTGTGAAAGCACATTCTTTGTATCTTGGGCATCTCTCCTGTACATGAGACTTTACAGCATTGATCTACTAAAATTGGATGAATGTAAGTCCCCGATACCGCAAAAAAAAAAAAAACCTCAAACCAAAACCAAACACCCCTCCCCCAAAATAACAGCTCATGTTCTACTTCCCATTAAAGAACCTCTGGACAGATGCAAACATTTCTATATGTGGCTTTCTGTTTACTGGAATTCAGTAATGGCTTTTTGTTTCTTACATAGTCACTCAACTGCTTGCCATTAGAAGGGCAGCTTTCACTTACAGACATCTCACTGTGGTGTCATGCAGTCAACATTTATTTCCTGGATATACAGCATAAAAGAAATGTGACACCCTGGACAAACTATAGGAATAGCTAAATACTGTAATATAATATGATAGAAGAAAGCAATGCTGTGTGTTTTCCATCCTGCCATCCTCCACCAAATCAGTTGCTCTGCATGGCTTTTTGTCTTCCCTGATGTCTGCAATAAATACTCCAAAGGAAGATTAGAGGTTGGCTACGTATCTCCTTGTAAGCACATTTCTTGGTGTTGCATCCCTATATGATAATCTTACTTAAACATTTTTACTGGTTTTCCTGTGAGGAATAAAGATTTTTGCTTTTTGCTATGAAATAAGATATGTCAATACCCGTCTGTGAAACACACAGCACGATTGTATTATTTCATTAATACACTTCTCTCTCCTTTGAGCAGCTCCCTATCTTTGCAGTGTCTCACTGAGCTCCTTATTTAATCTCCTAAATAAGTGACCTAATTGTTGGCTTGAAGTCAAGAGGAGCTGATGGCTGCTCACTACTTTGGAAAACAGGTGTCTTTTTCCAGGATCCGATGTGCAGACAGCCATCTAAATACAGTCAGCAGAACTTAAAGATTTTGAAAAACACTCTTTTTAACATTTAAACGTGTGCCAACTTGAGATTTCTAAGTGCAGCCATTTGGTGGAAAATCATCCTCCTGAGCTTCTGCAGGGCAAAGTGAGAGCAGAGGGTGAAACAGCAACAGATAATGACAGGATTTTATCTGGGCGATTTAGAACTTCTTTGTCTCTGCTAATTTCAGGAGCTGGAAAATTAAGTAAGTCATCAAAATCTTGTGCTTTTTCTCCCCCTCGCTTTTGACCTCAGAACATAATTGCCTCTTGTCATGCCTGCCGGGCATGGGCTTGTAGTTATCACTGTGTGCTTAATCAAATGCTGAAATAGCCTTTAAATTACATGTCTTCTTGGCTGCTAGACACTTGTTGAGCTGTTACATTTAGAGGCATGATGGTAGTAGATGTACTTTTAAAAGAAAAGTGTGGGATGATGCTTTTAATTAGGTTTTATACGCAATTTTCCCAGCAAAATGGTGTTCTGGCTCGGAATTTTCGTAGTGAAACTTCAGTGCATATTTAAGGGCAGTGAAACAAAAGCTGGAAATGTAGAGATAATTATTTTCACAAGCTCTGCACATGATTTGGTCTGCCCAGCTAAATACCTGACTTACTGTTCACAAAGGCAAACACAACAGGGTGGGGGAAGAGGTTTCCTAGTAATTTGGAGGAATGCTTCTGTGTTTGTAATTCCACAGGACTTCATATTCCCACAGTTCACCTTGACTCTGTGGAAAAAAAATCAATCAGAAAGTAATAATGAAAAAATCCCGACCCTTCCCTTCTTCTGAAGCCTACTCAGGTATGGGTAGGAGCTGAAATCCCGTTCAGTCATTGAGTCAATAGGTCTTATATGACCCTATCACTCCCTGAAGAGAAGCACACGCTTAAGGGCTTTTCTAATTCAGGGCCCTACTTTTCCCTATAAAGTGTCATCCGTGCATTCATTTGCAGCACGCAAACACAGCTCAGTGCTGCTTCTCTGTCTCCCTTTTCCTTAATCCAAATTATACCTGGCCTCTTGTCTCAACAATAATATTAGTAGCAAACAAACTCAGGTTAAAGATAGT